ACACAGACAACCCCGCAACAATATGCGTTTTGTACTGCTGTTACACAGCACAAAACGCATAAAAAACAAAAACTGAACAAGAAAATATATTCAAACACATAAAAAAATCTAAATCACAATAATGTTATTGTTCTACCCGTTCATACAAATACGGCAACAAAAAAAAAAAAAAAATATATATATATAATACGTATTTAACATAAATCTCATAGTTCTAGCTCACTAGCATGGCATAACGACAAGTAGCATCTCGTTGCAGGCGCATGTTACAATTTCAAATGGATCAGTAAAATCACTGATTTCACTGTTTTGATGGAAAATTGGTACTGGCAAATGTCAGTATAAAAATCAGGGCAGCCATCCATCAGAGGTTGCAATAGAAGAAAATTTTAATGCTGAAAGAAGCTGCTTGTGAAAGAAAGAAACAAAAAACTTCGCTAATAGAACAAAGCACCTACAAAAATATCACATATCATAGGCTACAATTACAGAAAAACTTCTTTTGAGCATAGCAACGTTATCAATTTAGCGATAACACTTCTTCGTTTCAGTTAGTTTTCTTAGAACCAATGTTTTCTTGGTTATTCCGCCTGCGAACTTTCTTTGCCTGAAATATTAATCAGTATCATTTATCTGAAATTAAAATTCTATTCCTCCTGATCGAAAAGAATGGAACTGACAATGTTCTGAACGAGGTGGTGATGCTCAACACACAATTTTGAAAGAACTAATGATTTTTTAAGTCCGGGTAAGCGTAGTACCCGCGTACGGGCTCGCAAAATTTTTTTAGGTAAGTTCGTAATTCGGGGATCTGAGAAGCTAGAAAGCTAAAATCTTAAGGAGATGTTCCCCGTCCAAGTGTTTATTAATGAGCTACTGAAAAAAAATCAATGCGTTAGTAACATTAGCAGATCCAGGAAGGAGGAGGGGGAGGCGACAGGTGTTTCGCTTCCCTCCCCGCCAACGGCACTGATAGCAGTTATTTTACTGTAGAAAACTCTGTTCGATACCCCTTATGCCCCCCAAGCTCCTCACAAGAAGCCGTCCCAGATTCGCCGATGGCTAGCAATCTCTTAGGACGATAAAACAAACACAAGGATCGTCAGCAGGCTAACCATCAGGCGATTCAGCACTTTTCAATGGCAGGTGTGCCGATGAGGAAATGAAGCGCAGTGATGAAACAACAGTCATTCAAAATATTAAAATAAGCTCTGGGAATCCAAAAAAATCCCTTTGGAAATTCATCCAACATCACGATTTAAATAAGCACGATAACGAACTTTTTTTGGTTTTTCTACGAAATCATCCATCCCTTTGACGATAAAATATAAATCGGCGAAAAAGACTATTGCACCAATAAGTAGGCCAAGAATCATTCGAGTTGTCATATCCAGATGGAGACTGGGATAGGCATAACTAATTCCTGAAAGAAGAAAAGTTGTAACTCTACGATCTAAAATAATTTCAGAAAAAAAAGTAATTTTGTGAAACATTTCCCGATATTTCTCGGTACACACGAGATAACGAACAGACCGAATTGAAGACCGAGCTGGATTAACTGTCAGTCGGACAAGGCAGGACCAACAAACAAAGTGGACTGCTGCATAGTAACAATGTACCATGCATAGATGGACCCAAGACAAACTCCCAAACAGGGAAGGCGATACAGGGTATGGGAGGAAGAGCGGGGCCTCTAGGGGCAGGGGAACGACAGGGAGAAGGGGGAGAGAGTCTCTTCCCATCTGGAACTATGCAAAAACAAGAAACTGAGCTGTAGCACTACTAATTAGAGTTACTTTAGGCTTTAGTTTAGTTTCAGCTTTAGACCCGGGCTTCTGCAGCACTGGTGCTTGTGCTACTGGACAGCGAAAGACCCTTTACCCATCACCCCTTCCCCCCGCCCCCTGGATCCACCTATGGCACCATGGTGCTGCGAAAAATGCTAG